CACCACCACCACCACCTTTATAAAAGCTCTATAGGCTGCTGATCCACTTCCAGACACAATTCAAAGCACAGGACTTATAAAGCCTAAAAAACTAGATCCACATTGGAGTTTTGTTTGCGGCTTCATCTGCTGTCTGTAGTTTGTGTGACTGTGATTTTTCTAGGTTGGAGTGAATGTTTATTTGTCCAGCACTAACCAATTGTTCCTTTCAGACTTTGTATTCAAAGAGCTATACCTCTCTGCTGAGAACTCTTTCCCTCTTTCTCCTGAGTTGGTGGCAGTTGTTTGTTTCCTGTTTAACTGTTCAGTTGGTTGCTAAGTATGTGTGCAGTAAAGAAAGCTGTATACTCAGGTCTGTAACTGTAGGTAAGGGAATGTTTTGTAATCCTTCTCTTACAAATGTCTCAGAGTGAGTTACTGAGACTTAAAGTTCCAGTTAATGAAAAACAAAGGTGGACTGTGGGGGACCTGGTAGCTTATACTATTGTGTCGCAAAAGGAATTTTGTCAGAAATTCAAAACCCTGCAACAGGATCAACCTTACAGCAACAGCTATTGAAACAAAAGTTAATATTGCAACACCTATAGTCATGGCTTTTGTATCCTGGGTAATTATGATCTCATACTTCACGCTAATCATGAAGTCACTCACCTGTGATGACCCCTCTTCAGTGAAGTACAGAAGCTACCAACCAAAGCAGGTTGGGAAGGCCAAGTCATCCAACTGATTGTGCTTAACCAGAATATATCCACACCTTCTATGTAAATGATGAACAACAAAAGTAGCTAGAAAAAGACTGTTGTTACGTTTCTGGCGCAGAGTAAATGAAGACACTTTACCAATTCTTCTTTGACGGTTATATTTACATATATGTACACTTATATACAGGCAGGTCTCTACAGCACATCTAGAAGTCTTCACCCAGTCCGACAGCATGCGTGGCAGAAAATCACATCAGAAGAAGAGAACATTCTACAGACGCAGTCCATATTTATACATAATATTGTATTGTTGGGGTTCATTTCTGTTTACCATGTGTGTGTCTCTGTGTGTTTGGCCTTTTAATATGTATAAATTGCCCTCTTACTTCGCTCTGGCCACTACTTTGTTATTTTTCTTAATTATACATTCTCCTTTTTCAAAC